CTATGCATTTTACTAAAAGTATATAATATTGATTCCTGTTACAGATATTCCTAGTAAAGAAGGGTCTTTATATTATTGTGGTTGACATATCTAAATCACTAAATGATACAATTCATTATTCCGAAGATTTGGAATCGTTTACCGAAGATAAAGTAAAAGGTATGTTTGAAGACTATCATGGTAGACTACAGTGGACCTAACGCATGATTTTTGCAACTAAGATGTGCATCCAAATTTCCTTGGTGCAGCTTTTTAAGCCATTGACCAAACCCAAATTGAATCATTTGCATCCATGAAAATCTGAACTTTTTGAAACATTGATACTCTCTTGTGTGACATTAGAACTCACACCTAATTCACAGCCATATCCTGTCCCTGAAGTTAACAAATCCAAAACTTGGGTGCTATTAAACTTGTTAGTGATAAGATCAAAACACAGGAGTTTGAACACTAATGCCAAGGTTATTTATTTCTCAAACTTTGATGTTTACATCACTATACGCATGCACTTGTTATTGCTAGACTGCTCTGCTGAAACAGCAGAGCTATTTCGACCATCGTATTGCTTATTTAAATGAAAGCATAATCCATATACATTTGTGACTAGGTGATGGGGTTGTGTGACAGTCTTGCTATCATAATAGCACCATGGTATTTTAATCAATCAATCAATTAGCCACAGTGACCTGGGCACTTAAGGTAGCGAGACTATTATTTGTGTTGAAAATTACGATTTTCACATTTATTAATTGATGAAATGCACTATAAACTTTCATCTGATAAAGTCAACGTAACCTAGAATGTCATGTAAGTTGGTTAAAATGTAGATTTTCTGAAGGGAAGCAAAGCAGCTTCAGTAGTGTTTTCCAAAATCAACAACACAGGTTTAATTTGTGTGCCTATGAGTTTCAAAGATTAACTCAAGACAAAGCAATGTTAGGATGTGTTATCAGTAGCTATCTGACACACAATTGGTGTTTCCAAACATTTGAGTGGTTTGTCTCCGCCCCTGTTTATTTCACAGATTAGTCATTTGCATATGAATGTGTCAGACACAAGGTCACACAGCCACTAACAAAAAAATCATTGATTTTAGTGTTTTCATCTGCCGATTTTATCGAACTATAGCTATCCCATTCCTTTATTTTTTTGGTTTCCAATAGCCTTATACATTTGGATGCCCCTAGACATGTTAAAACAGACCTTGATGGGAAACCAAATCGCTTGTGCAGATAAACAAGCTTGAACATCTTTGCTGTGACTTCATTGACGTTTTCTAGGAGTTTATGTTTTTCAAAATACAAGGTCTTTAACAAAAAATAACGTATACTTATTGTCGTCTGATTAACACCTAATTTTCACAGCTTTAAGGTGACAATGAGAGGAACTTGAATGTGTCCAGACAAACTATTTCATTGATTATTTACCAATGTGTTGTGGTTTGAGTTGGGGGCAATGCGACTAAAACAGAAATTAAAATTCAGGACACCACTTCTCAAAACGCGTTGCTTGAATAAAACTGACCAGACACATTCAATTTACCAGACTATTGAACAACTAATTACAAAAAAAGTAATTTTTCACTTTTGATTAAGTAACGCACCGTAGAATGCAGATACGGGCATGGCAAACACGCCTTTGAAAAAGCTTGAAGTCTGGCGATTCCAAAAATATATACTTTCCTGGGTCTATTTGTAGTCATTTGGTCACAATTAGAAGATAAAAACAAGTATGCAAATAATAGTCCCGCTACCTTAAACCAAGGTTTCCAAATAGTTCGTCTGTTAGTGAATGAATCTCCCGTGGATTTGTAGAAAATAAACTTTGGTGTGCCAAATACGAGTCTCGTGCAACCACCACCATATGCTATCCGTAACTGGACCTTTTCATTTTTTAGTCCCCGTTCGGACGTAGTCCGAAAACGGGGACTTATGGTTTGCCCTGTGTGCGTCCGTGTGTCCGTGCGTCCGTGATCACCTGTATCTCGAACATGCATGGACCGATTAAGTTCAAACTTCACTCATACATCACACATTATATGGGACATATGCACATGCATTTTTTTTAATGATATGATTAACGATTGCCGAATAGCGGCCATTTTAAGGTCGAAAATGCATCAAAATGGCACATTTTTACCATTCCGGACCCGGATCTCAGTTATGCATGGACGGATTTCGTTCAAATTTGGTACATACATTAAACATAATAGGACCTTGATGCACGTAATTTTTTTTTTACGGATCAAGTTTGCAATGGCCGACTGGCGGCCATTTTGTATTAAAGAATTCAGTTCTGGATCCGTATCCAAGACATGTCTGGATTGATCAAGTTCAAACTTCATACACACATGGTACATCATGTCACAAATAGATATGTGCATTTGTTTCATGATCCGCTTAACAATAGCCGAATGATGGCCATTTTAAGGCCGAAAATGCATCAAAATCACGTATTTTCACAATTCCGGAACCAGATCTCAGTCATGCATGGATGGATTTTGTTAGCCTTCGCAGACGAAGTCTGCCGAAGGCTTATAGATTGGGTTTCGTCCGTCCGTCCGTCTTTTACCTCTTATAACTTTGATATGCTCTGTCCAATTTTTTTCCAAGTTGGTGCAAATGTAATTCTCAATGCCATACATATGCACGCCAAGTATTTTTTTGATTCGCCAAAATTTCATTGTGTTTTTTCTGTGATTTTCAACATTTTACTAGTACAAGTGCCGAAATTTGCCGGAAAAATCCGAGTTT